TTTTTTACAGGATATATTGAACATTTAGTATAAATAATATTACTACTAATTAATTTGATCAAATATAATGGGAACATTGGGAACTCATGTCATCGTGTTTATTTTAGCACATATTCTTGTTGTAAATAAAGTCTTACAGATTGTATATATTCAATTGAAAATAAAAGTATGATGGRATTAAGTCTAGTAAGAAAAATATTAAACATTAATGAAAGTTTAAACAATTAAATCTCAATAACATGATTTGGAATGTCAATGTAAAATTTACTTTCCTAGTATGTTAAATTATGATTTAATATTATAAAAATGTGAGACATAGACTTTAGACAATTATATTTCTATAATATAAAATATAACAGTAGTTAATTCTTAAATATCCTGTATAGAAATTAGGTGAGTTAAAAAATGAAAAGTACATTACATCAATAACTTAGAGGTAAACAAAAAATACAACTAAAGTACATTACCATAGCAACATGATATATCTTATTGCGTGTTTTATCTATTCTTGCATATGATTTTAAATCAAAGATTATATGTTGAATAAAAATGGGAGTAAGTATTTAATAATGAAGGTAATTAATTACTAAATATTTATTTCAAAATACTATTTTATTTAATAGGATTTAAAAGCAACTACAATAAAAGATGCAATAAAAAATTGGGAAGATGAAAATAAGGAATCTGCTAGTGAAGCTACAAATATTTGTTTACAATTTCAGTGGCCACCTATAGAAAAAATGGATAATAATTTATCTGTTTTAACTAAATGCGAGTATGTTTTTATTATAACAAAATTATACATTTTTAATATGCAAGTATTAATATTTGTTTAAGGAAATTATCATTAAGTACAAATATGATTGAAAAAATAAATGGTCTTGCTGCTTTAAGACACTTAAAAATTTTATCGTTGGGGCGAAACTATATTAAAGCTTTTACTGGACTTGAACCATTGGCTGAAACATTAGAAGAATTATGGATATCTTATAACTTTATTGAAAAAATGAAAGGTGTCTTAGGCATGCGTAAACTTAAAGTTTTACATATGTCCAATAATAATGTTAAAGAATGGGCAGAAGTAAATAAGCTTGCAGAAATGGAAAATCTTAAAGACTTTTTATTTGTTGGTAATTTATTATTATGTAGTATGTACCTTCTTCATTAAAATTAGGTATAACATTTTAATTTACACTTAAATTGTATTACTATTTAGTGGTTACAAATAAGTAGGTACACCCCCTTGGCCATCAGTTCCCAATTAGTGTGGATAATCGACGCTCYACACTGTTATAACTTTTTACATTGAATAATTAATTTAAAATCATTCATCAAAAATAAAACTATTATTAACATTATTTAAAAAATGTGATGTTGGGTATTATGCACACCTATTTCTATTTAGTTTTGAATGTTATTTGTTACTATATTATGTATAACTCAATAGTTATTGTCTATATTATAATTTTAACAAACATACAAATACTTAAAAATGTATACGCAATATGACTTACAAATTACAATGGCATATATTACTCATATACATATGTTATACGTTAGAAGTTCATATTAATTTATACAGATAAGCCATAAGGCTTGTAGATATGTAGTTATAGAATATAGAAAAATAATAATATTTATCATATTCTTCAACAATACGAAATTAGTTTACTTACAGGCATTATCTTGTTTAACCTCATTTTAATTKATAATTACAATTTTGAATTTTCTCAGGAAATCCACTTTACGAATGTTTGGATGAGTCTGTATGGCGTAGTGATTGTATTAGAAAGCTACCTAAACTAGAAATATTGGACGGAGTACCAATCATAAGAGAATAAAATATACATCTCAGTTGAAAACTAGTATGTCTATATTTAGTATTTACTTGATAATTTAATATTTTGTTTCATTTAAAAAATAAAAATGCATAATTTATTATTACGATGCCGGATTAAGATATTTTATATTTATGGTTTGAAGTTATAAAAGTATAACGCGAAAATATTTGGTGTATAGAGTTGTAACCTTGCCGGTATCAATTGTTGAATTATCAATATATCGAGAATGAAACTATTTAAAATTCTGGCATTGTGATTTGTGGTTACACGTGTTACGTACTATTTAATTTTATCAATTTTAGGAACCACTTAATTTTTTGACAAACCGTGTGGAAATAATATGTGGATGGATCATTATATTATTATAAAAGTGTCATACGTCTGACGTCATTTACGACGTGCACATTATTTATTTATTTAACGAATCAGAAATCAGACTAAAAGGCCTAAATCRCAATATATGTTATATTTACCCTCTTCCCGCTCTCACTCGCAGCCTCATCCCGTCGTTTGACTCGTCACGTGTGTGACGTGCAGCCCTGTAAAGTATTTGAGTAWAAGTACTTTTTAAATACTTTCAGCATCAAGTATTTTGAATGGTATTTTAAATACTTTTTTAAGTATTTTTGTATTTTTTGTACTAAGTACTTGTTTGTATTGAATACTTTGGTTTTTTATTTCGAAAATTTTTTTTTTTTTTTTCATTAAATTCAATACTCCGCTGCCAAGCAGTGCTTCAGTGGAGCGGGTATTTAGTGTGGGTGGAGCAGCTATGACCAAAAAGAGAAGCAGTATGACCGATGAACGTTTTGAAAACATTATGTTCTTAAAATATAACAAAAATGTATTTAATAAATAATAAATAAAATAAAAATTATTATAAACTTACTATATGTGTCTATATTACGATAAATCATTAGAAACCTTTAAAAACCAAAAGTATTTGAAAAGTATTCCAAATACTTTTTTAAAGTATTTGAGTAGTATTTGAAATACTTTACAATTAAAGTATTTGAGTAGTATCTTAAATACTTTATAAAAAATGTAGTTATTTGAGTATTTACTCAAATACTTTTTAAAAGTATTCTTTACAGGACTGGTGACGTGGATTATGTGGAGGGCCTTATTTCAGAACATACCAAAACAAACTATACTCATATACACATAATATAGAACTTATCTCTGCATGTCTATTAAAAAAATAATTTTTCAATTATTATTATCATTAAATTATTTATTCCGATATTTATCATTTATCATCAATTATTAATAGTTTAAAATAATATGTTATCAATTTTGACACAAAATTTTATTATAATATCTTTAACCTATATTTTATTTTATTTTCGGTGACAATATTATATACATACACCTATTACCTTCACCAAAGCTTATAATATGATGGTGGATGTACATATAAAGTATAGTTACCAAAAGAAAAAAAATCACAACTTATACTATGATAAAGTTTCCCCGGTACCTACCATAATGTCGTCATCTAAATGCATATTGGTAAATGGTAATATGCAGTGTTTGGCGAGTTCCTTATAAAAAGGAATTCTTTCCGTTCCTTGTTCCTTAAAAAAAAAAGGAAATCATTCCTTCGGAAAATGAACAAGTTCCTTTTGAGTTCCAAATAAAATAAAAATTCTTATTCAATCATAAATTTTTTTCATTCATAGATATACTCTTCGGTACTTTACCTTTCAATATTATACTTATACATACATACAAGTGCATATTTTTGTTTAAATTACTGACTTTAACAATTATGTTCGATACTCGATAACGATTAACGATCACAAATGTTGAGTACCTATATTCACACTAAAAAGAAAATATTTTTACTCTTATATTATTTTATATATTAGCTATGTAAATTTGAACTCAAAATGGACGAACAATATTTCGTTGTATTTCCTTGAAAAAAAGAACACGTTCTTTTTTAATAAAAAAGAATCCGTTCTTTATTCAAACACTGGTAATATGATTGTACTATTAAATGTYGCTTTTTGTTGGGTATTTCGTGGTTATTGGTTATTTTTTCACAGTTGCTGAATTGAACGCGTATATACTGTCCAGATTATTTTTTTTAACCGTATTCCTTATTGTAATTGTTGAACTATAATAATTATACTGAAAGTTCTAAAAAAAAAAAAAACCATATTCCTAATAATACCTATGATTGCCTGTTGCCCCCCGCGGGTATTTCCACAAAGTTTTGAAGAAATTTGAATTTATAGGACTCCCGTTGATTGAAATCCTTCTAACTATACAAAAATTTTTGCGTGTTCTACGCACAAACAATCGTGAATGGAAAAGCATGTGTTATAGTTGAAAAAGAAGTTGAAATCAGAAATATTTTCTATAACATATAAGGTAAAAAAAGC